TCTTTCAGTCTTAAATAAAAAATACCAAGTTCACATAAAGAGATGCAGTTTTGAGCGCAGCAGAAAGGTCTGTCTGCAGCTAATTTACCCCAGTGGTACAGGACCTGCATAAAACGCTGTGATGCGGGAGATCATTCATGCACATCTGTTTTTAAACCCACATGAGCTGAACAGCATGCTCCATATTAAAGCATGGTGAAAAAAGAAAAAGAAGAAAGAAAAGGGCAGAGGGAGACTGCAAAGTCGACGGGCTCTAGAGGGAGCCATGTCCAACTTGCCTTGCCAGAAAATATTACGTAAGAATGGAAAATTATCTTCCCTCTTACAAAAAAGCATTCAGCTAGAGTTCATATACTTTATATAACCTCCCCTGTAGTCTCTGTAGCAAATGCATGTGGGGGGAGGGGTCAATTAATTCAGCCCATTAGCTGATCAAGACCACAACCAGATGAGGAGTACAAGAATACCACCAACACATTGTTTCCATCCCTTACAATTTATTACCTTTATTGCGCTGCTAAGTCCAAGCTATAGACCTGGTCTAATTTGCTGCATTTTTTTCAGTTCTAGTCACCTTGGCACTGGTCATCTGAATTACTGCCAAAGTTTAGTTCTGCAACAGTGTGAACAGAAATTAGGCATGTACGTCTATCTCTTCCTAGGCCATATAACGGAAGACTGATCTGTAACCAGTTGGTAGTGTGGGAGACGACATTCCCAAGCCTGAAGAGGGACATACTTTTTCAATCACTTGGGCCTTCAACCCACCAGTAACCCCCCTGGGGCTAAAAGGACCACCAGGCAAGAAGCTGGGCCCCTGCATGGATAAAGCTGTCAGAATGAGACCCTCAACAATTAAACCATACAGTCATTCTGGCACGAAGCATCGCTTAATTTCTCATTCAAGAATTCTTTGAAGACGTAAGTGTTTCCACAACACGCTCCACTTTTTCAGCCTGTCACATGCGGTATTACCTCCTTCATACCTCGTAACAGTGACCAGCTCACAGTAAGAAAAAAACAAAAATCAAAGTACAACTTCCTTAACAGAGAGTGAGTCCCTTTATAACTTCTTAACATCCCTCTAACTACAGTGAGAGAACATACAATCATTGAGACTGCGTATGCATGCTAACAAAAAGCTATTGTTAATTTTTATCAAGAATTAAACCCTAAAAATACTTTCACTCATCAGGCTCATGTTCATGCTCACCGCCGTCTTTCTCCATCAACCAGTAGTCTATGATACACTAATAAATTTTGACTCATCTTACAGGAATATGGGGTGGGGGTAAGGGAGCAGAGTTATCCTAATCTGTATGTCTTGGAACCAGAGCTTTATTTTGCAGTCCTTTACACCGCAAGTGCTTCCAAAGACAAAATGTCTCTCTCCGGCTCTTTTGTGTCTCAATGCCAGCTAAGACAATAAAGCGACAATTTTATGAAGACTGTGGAGTCTACCATAAACTTCTACTCCTGGTACTATATTCTCTCCCGTTCCACCCACACTTTCCTTTTGAATCTAACCAGGACTTGAACCAACAAATCATACTTCATGCAAGACTATTCCTATCTCTGCTGAAAGTGACCAACTGTTTACTATCAACAGAAATGATTGCTTCCTAATCAAGGACCTGTCAAACCACATTAACTTCACAGAACAAGGCAGATTTACCTAATCAAAATTGCATCACACAAGTCAGTCATCAGAACAGAAGCTGGTTTTTTCTCCTTTTAACATTTGAAAGCAGAATAGCAAAACCACCCAAGAAGGCAGGCGCAAGTTCCAGAACCCAGCAGCAGACCCGCTTGGCATTCTTCCTCAGGCGTTACACCATTTAATTATTTTTCTGATGGGTCCATTGTGTACATTTCTTCAGCCAAATAGAGTGTAGGTGACTCCACAGGCAAATGTAGATACTTTATACAACATAACACTCAGGTACAAAGAAATCATAAATGCAGATTGCAGAGGAAAATTCTGACCGCCGAAGTCAGATTATGTGAAAACACACAGACAGCCCAGAAGCGAGCAGATACATCAGTGGCCTTTCAACACATAAGAAGTAACAAAGAGCAAAAGAAAAGGCAAAGAAAAAATTTTAAAACATTCTACCAGTTATGTTTTCATTTATTTTAATTGAAAGTTTGCAAAGATCACTGGAGGCTGCCATACCTAGAGATCTTAAGCCTCCACAATCAACACAATCAGCTGAATACGCACTTTTTAAAAAAAAAAAAATCAAGCGGTCTTGTTGCCCCCCCCTCACCCCAGACTATCCACAGCTGGTGCAAAAACCTAGGGAGAGAAACCACTAGAAGTGTCACTGAAATGTACCTGAAGCCTCTGGCCTCATTGCACTGAAGATACGCGATACTATCCTCAACACTCAGACACTCTGCAGAAAGCCATTCCTTACACTTGTAAGAAAAAAATCAACCACACTTTATAACTGTCATAGGATTTCCACACTATAGGACAAATGATGTAATGGAAATACAACCAATGAACAAAATGCTGGTGTTCTGTGGTTTTCCTTTAGGGACTCTGTTTTCTTATATTTGGTGACAACAACATTTTACATTCAAAATGCTACTGACTTAAATTGTATGTACGGCATACAGTACCAATACTGCCCATTTTATTCCATGTCAAAGACAGACAGAACTATCTCACTTTAATATTCTGGTAACAAAATCCACACGTCATTCTCCTTTTTTGATATATCAAAAGCCCCTTATTGGCATTCAAGTCCTTTATTACATGATTTGTTATGATTCAGTGCCTAGACAGCTTTGTGGCACAAATTCCCACAACCAAAATGCTGATTTAAATAATGGATCAGTACCTTGTCTCATGGCCAGTGGTAACACAATGCAGTAGTTTGTACACGATCCTCCCAGCAGTGTCATCAGATTCTGGCTGCCTGCCTACTAGAAATGAGATACTATGCCATCTGTACAATTTAGCTAACAAAACGAAAAAAAAAAAAAGAAAAAAAATCACAACAAAGTAATAACCCCAGTGTCCTGGCACCATTCTAAATCTCAACAATGTGTTTGATGGTCAGTATACAACATTAGACAGTTTTACTGACAGCATCTTCGTTGCTGAGTATTAGTTCTTGTTAAAAACCTGTTTCTTTCCAGAGAAGAGGAAAGTGTCTTCCCCTTCCCCCCGCTCCCCGATATCCACAAGCTTCCCGCTTAGCTCTTTGCCAGAACACATGAGATCTGCCTTGAGCAAGTCAGCATCCCATACCATGAAACACACTGCTGCTCCTCCTGAACTTCCCCACCAACTTAAACGGAAGCTGGTCAAGGTACTAAATTTAAATTCTTTGCCCTTCCGAAGGGCCTGAAGAGAGCCATAATTGTCAGTATGGACGCTGGGTTGCTAAGAACTATGTAAGGACCACCGTGTCTCCCTTCCCCAAGAGCAATGAACAGCTGTCAGGTGGTAACAAGTTTTAGTCATCCTTAACTTGAGGCAGACCTGAACCCATGACCTATAGGTGAAAGGCTCTAGATCCCATTACCAAGCACTGGGGTCACAGTCCCAGTGTTTTAGTCATCACACAGTAAAATGCTTCGGTGGATCTTAAATGAGAAGCACCCCGAAAAACAAAACTGCTTGACTCTAGTGTACATTTGCACAACACTGATGCACCTTCCAATGACATAAGAGTGAAACCATATTTATTTTCATTGGCACAACTTCTGACAGATTTCCTTCCACTGACTTACTAACAATTTTGAAGTTACTAGGTCATTCAGCTCATGTACTCATTTCCACTACGAATGTCACTGTCTTACCTACACTTTTCTCACAATTAGCATTCAAAATTTATGTGGCATTACATTCACATGCTTATAAAGAACTCTCGAATCTACCACCAGGAACTGCAGTCCCTTCCACAGTGAGTAGTCTCAGAAGTCTGACCTCTAACACACTTAAGAGATTGATCCTAAATCAACCAATGAGTGATAGCCAAAAATCAGTGCTTTTTAATTTACTGTCCAGTAGCTCAAAAGGCATGAAATATTTCTTTTTCAGAATATCTTACAATATTCCATTTCAGGTTACTGGAATTGCATCACATAGCCTCAGGTTTTGTTATTTTACCTCTACTAACCATTCAATAGTTGCAACTGTGCAACAAGCAGTTTAGTACAGAGCAAGCTCTCTCTAAAAAAGAACATTCCTGAGAGCCAAACACTTGGGATAAAAAATGTTTGCCTACCAATGCAGAGGGCAAAATTTCAGAAACCAAAGCCAAGATTTCCAGAAATACTTACTGGTATTGGAGCCTAAATTCTGCCGTGAGAAGTCTGAGGTGTGTGAACGGAGAAAAATTTTCTGGTGACCCCCCCCCTTTTGAAGACTCTGGGCCTTAAGGTGTTTCTACTTGAGCACTTGTTCGAGGGTAGACACACTCCTGCTTTGTTTGAGCAACACCACCTTTTTCAT